GGTTCAAAGGGACTACCAAGATACTAAGAAGTCTATCAAAGACTGGCATAACAGCTTGAAAGAAACTAAGGACAGACTATCTGAACTGGAGGGCAGACTTGTAATATGGGAGAATGAAATGAAAAACTTCTTAAAAATAACAAAGAAACAAACAGCAATAATACAAAGACAAGAAGATGATAAGAGGATCCATAACTTAAGGATTAAGAACATAAAAGAAGAAGTAGGGACACAAACAAGTGAACTACAAAAGCTACTCACAGAAATAATCCAGGAGAATTTTCCTAATTTAGCAAAAGGTAAAGATACTCAGATGTATGAGGCATACAGGACCCCAGCCACCTACAACCCAAACAGAGCAACACCCAGGCATATAATAATAAAAATTCCAGAAATTCAATACAAGAACAGAATATTAAAAGCTGTCAGAGACAAGAAACAGACCACTTACAAGGGAACACCCATCAGAATTACAGCAGATTTCTCTGCACAAACCATCAAATCACGAAGAGCGTGGGGGGAAATAATTCAAGCTTTGAAAGATAATAATCTCCAGCCAAGATTGAGATATCCTGCACAACTGTCCCTGGAAATTGATGGAAAAACAAGGTGCTTCCAGGATAAAGAGGAACTGGGGGAATTTGCAACCACCAATTCAACTCTACAGAGAGTATTGCAGGATATTCTAAAAAAAGAAAAATACAAAGAATCCAGAAATAGTGGAGGCCACAACGAATGGAGCAGAGAACAAAGTGAAGAAGACAAACTGACAGCTACTGACAGAATAAGAGCTCAACAGAAATGAGACAGAGAAGATTGGATGATAGGAACAGCTTTTTTGGAGAAAATGACATCTTAATAGGTAATACTGATTTAGTATCATCTTGTTTTGAAGTCTCATCTAGCTTTTGTCCTTCTGTCTCCAATGGTCTAAATAGGTTGTATCTTACTGGATTTTATTATGTACGATAGTATAAGCAAAAACCTTTTAAAGACAAGGAGATTATACAGAAACCATTGTTCATTTTCTGTTAGTCGATTCGAAATTCTCTGTAATGCTGTCATTCTCTTAAATGGTTTTACATTGTTTTGATATACTTAATGCTACAGTATACGAAGTTGTACTCAAGGATTTCAAGGAAAGAGACAATATGGTAACTACTTTTAGGTCAGGATTATCTGGTGGTGAAACACTATTCTGCGTAAATGGTTATGTTTTGATCTGTGCTGTTTCGTTGTTATGCCCTCTTTTATCTCAATCTCCACTCCATTATTTACTTTTTTATTTTTATCCTTTTAATTAAAGGAAAAAATAGCAGGATATATTATAGTAACCCACTTTGACTTTCCATTACCTCGATTTAAAGCCCTGTATTACTCTCACCATCTGGTTTTTAACTGATGTTCCCCTATTCTGTTTTGCTGGATAGTATCAGGTTCGAAAATTTAGGCATCAGCTGTGAAGATAATGAGATTCATTATAACGCCCATTCTCGTTGACTTTTATCTACTTTTGAAGACCTGCAATGTCTCCAATGTTTTGGTTTTGTCGGTTTTATTCTTTACTGTTTTGTTCAATTGTATTATAACTAATGATATAGGCAATTCTATTAGAGATAGCGGGAGGCATTATGGTAACCATTGTTGATCACCTTGTATTATGTTTTCACATTATCTATTATGTCCACCCTTTTGACTTGACCGATTCTGTTCTGTTATGTCACATTTGGTTTTACTCTCTTCCAAAAAAGTAATAAGAACCGTGGGAGCAATGAAACCCAAAATGTGTAATAGTCATTGTACAAAAGAGAGGAAAAGAAAGTGCTCTAAACTATATAACTGCATGTATATTTAAGTGTATAAGATAAAAAATGATATCACAGAGTTTTATTGGATCATTGAACAGAACTGTTAGCAGTATCATTGTTGGAATGTCCACTCTACAAGCTTTAATTTTGTGACTTGAACAATTATTTCTAAGATGACAATATGTAATCCATTAACTAGTGATTTCCTACTGTTCATTTTTTTTCTGCAAATCTGTATAACTTGTACCCTTTCTCTGTTTTTTTTTTCTTTTCTCCTTAAATAAAAAAAAAAGACAAAAAAAAATTACTAAGCTGATTGTACTACTAATTCTATTAGTTCTTGGGAAAAAAAACAGTTAACATCCATCGGATTATATCAATTTTGCATGACTATGTCTTGTAATTTGAGTAAGAATTTTGATGATAACTATGCAAAACAACAGAATTTGTCATGTTCCTATCACATTGTTTTGAAAGCCTATACTGTTATTCTTTTGAGCTCTGTTATAGTTATTTATTTGATGCTCCTTTCTTGTTTTTCTTATACTTTTGTTTTGTTTTGTTTTGTTTTTCCCTCTAATACAGAAAGGATAGATGTACATGTATAGGTTTATATGTACTTAGAACTTCACCTAAAGAGTTTACAAGAATTGATTTTATTATATATCATGGAATTAACAGCTATATTGAAGAAAACAAGACATCATGGCAGCCATTGATGATTTCCTATCCTTTTGTTTTGAAGTCCCGTAATGCTTTTAGTCTTGGTTTTGGTTGGTTTTAGTGTGTTTTCAATTATTTGATTTCAATATGTATGAAGGCATGGATAGGTATTTTGAAGAAAACAAGCGACATTATAGTAGCCATTATTCATTTTCTAGTGTCTGGTTTAGAAGGCCTGTGAGGCTCTCCTTCTTCTGCTTTGTTTTTATACTATTTTGAGTTGTATTAATTTATTGTGTGTGAAGGTATGGACAACTATTTTGAAGAAAACAAGAGACATTGTGGTAGCCACTGTTGATTTCCTGTTGACTTGTTCTGAAATCCTGTGTTTTTGCATTGTTTGGCTCTTATCTACTTTGTTCTGTTTTGTTTTGTTTTGTTTTGCTTTGTTTTGTTTGTCTTGTTTTATTCTCTTTAAAATTAAAAAAAAAACCTGGATACTACACAGTCTACCCTGAGATAAATAGCAAGGTTATAAAAGTAAAACAACTTCAGAACTGAGTGTGCATTATTGATCAGAAGTATCTACTCTGTTGGAAAAGAAATCTACTACAACGAGTTAATAGAAATATAAATATGTGGAGTTGATGGATATGAACTTCCAACAAGATTTTGTGAGGTGAAGTCAAAATTAATAGGGGAAATATATTATCACAACCACATAAATGAGGTGAGCGAAAGAGATTGAAACATTTTTAGATCACTCCTGGAGCCCACATTGGGCTTCTTTCTCAAGAAGAAATGATGAACAACAGCAGTGAGTTAGAGAGTTAGAGTTACTACCCACACTGTTGCCCACTGAGAAGGGCTTGTCCTATAACAGAGTTCACAGATACTGATGGCACTAACCAATATGTAAGTAATTATCCTAAGTAGCTTTTTACTAAAGCTGGTAGATAGCATGCAATGTATGAACACACTTTTGATGAAATGTCACAGCAGTGATGGATTTGTGTGTAGAACATAGAAGGTAAGGCAGGAAGGGGAGGATGAGAGGAAGACTATGACGCTTACACAGTAATGTTTCAACCCATCCACATCAAGGATGGGTCACCTCAAGGATGTGCTTCACCCTCCTGATCTAATCACTTGCCACAGCTCCCCATCTCCAACATTCAGCTTGGAAAGATTCACCTTCAGAATTTGGACATACGAATCTGAGCAGAGGTGGACCCAAGTATGTTGTCCATAGCAGACATAAGTAATTCATTGTTGTGCTCACACTTTGGGAGTTCCTTTGAAACTACTGTCATGAACTATGCAACATTGTTTTAATATCCTCAATGGTTTTATCTTTCCAGAATGGATTTTATTTGGAAGAACAATCAGATTATTTGGAATCAAATAATATAATTTAGCTGTGTGATTACATTCAATAAAGCTAGATGAAGTCAGCCATAATTGTTGTAATGCAAGAACAGAGAACAGACCTAAGGATTCTACTCCCAGCTCAGTCATGAACAAAGTGTGCAAACTAAAATTCCTTCCAGTTGTAGAATCCTCATCTAATTTACATTTGGAAGACAGAGAATATGACTCCAATAGTGTAAAATGCAGGAAACCTGTATTTTTGCTAAGGAAAGGAAAAGGAAACTTTATCCAGCAGCGTGAAGAGAACTCTGAATCACAGTAGAGCTGAACCAGTCACAGGGTAATTCTGTGGCTGTGTCCTACAAGTTGTCTACCAATTCTGCCAGATAATTTGACAAGAAATTCTAGCTCAACTTCAGGTTTGATATAGAAACTTTATTGAACTACTCAATTTTACAGCTCCTAATTGACAAAAGACTACATGACTATGTGGGTTCTTCTCTTATCACAGTAATAAATTTTTAAAAATTCTTTTGTGGTAAGTTATATACAACAAGTTTGCCGATTGAACTATTCCTAGACACATAGTTGAATGCCATCCTTTATTCTCATGATGTTCTGCAACTATGATCACTTTTTAGGAATACGGATAGTCACTCATCTATCAATGTAGCAACCTTGTTCTAGTGGAATAGGGATTCCGTGTTGAACAAAAAAAGACATGGTCTGTGTCTGCAAGGGCCGTGGTGTTTTTTTCTAAAGTCTCTATGTACACGCAGCCAGGGCCGAAAAATGCAATAGGGTACACCAGGGATCACAGAGGTTCCCAGAGCGCCCCACTTTGGCAAGTCGCACTGAGAAGTCCGCCTTCCTGATCTTTTCCTGAGTCAAGGTTGGCAAGATCTCCACGCCCTTCGCGGGGCGGGATCTGGAGGTGTGGGCGGAGCCTTGTCGAGGGGAGGGGCCCTAAGGCGGGGCCTGGGCGGGGCTCCACTTGAGGGGCTTCTCTGGGACGGTGGTGCGGCGAGCCGTGGCGGGGAACGGGTAGGGCAATGAGGGACGGAGCCCTGCTGTTGCACACTGACCCCGAGGCGGGGCATGGGCGGGACTGTGTGGAGAGGCCGCCTTGAGGGCGGACCCGAGGCGCGCGCGGCGCGGCGCGGCGGGCGGGGAGGTGGTGAGGAGCCGCCCCTCCCCCACGCGCCAGGCTGCGGCGGGGCTGCCAGCCGCGGCCTCGTCCCGCCCGGCCCCGGGGCTGCGGCGGCCAGACCCGAAGCCCGAGTGGGATGCGGCTGACGCGGAAGCGGCTGTGCTCGTTTCTCATCGCCCTGTACTGCCTCTTCTCCCTCTACGCCGCCTACTACGTCTTCTTGGGGTACCGCCGCCGGCCGCCGGCCGCGATCTCGCGGGGCCTAAGGAAAGGGGCGGCTCCGGCGCGGGAGAGGCGTGGCCGAGGTAGGGGAGGCTGCGGGTCCCCGGGTGCCAGGGTCCCCCTTGCCTGCGGCATCCTTGCTGGCCGCGCTGGGCTCGGGGCTGGAGGGTCCCCGCCGCCGAGGCCGAGGCCCGCACGCCTTTGAAACGCGCGCTGAAGCCCGAGAAACGATGCGGGAGCGCTGCAGAGCGCGCCGGCCTGGAAACGTCTGTACACCCAGGAACAATCTGCTGGGACGGTGCACGCTTCTGGAGGCCCTGTCGTCTTATTTTCAGACCGTAGTTCCCGGCCCAGTTTTTGTTTGAGACGAGGTGTTAAGTTGCCCCTGTGCAGTATTTTTCACGTGTTGGTCTCACACTGTTTTATTTCTCCCTTTATTCCCAAATTTGCACAACAGTATCTTAAATTGGTGGACACTATATTCCGAACTAGATGCCCAGGTTATGTAAGTACAATCTATAAAGACTTGCAAAAGTTAAACCTGCCTTGGTGGCGCTCACACTGAGGCCACAGAGACAGGTGCATTTTGAGTTGGAGGACGCCTATGTCAAAAAAATAAAAAAAGAGAGAAACACCTAAATGTAAATTTATCTGCTTATTTTTGTTTGGGGAAGAGTGGAACAGGTTCTTGCTAGGTAATGCAGGCTGGCTTTAAACTCACTGTGTGGCCCAGACTCTCCTTGGACTCCTAATCCTCCTGCCTCGGCCTACCCAGTGCTGTCATTAGGGGCATGTGCCACCAGCCACCACACCTGATTGATCGAGTTATTTTTAAAAGTTTTCTTTGGGAGGAAATACTTGTTCTGTTTCAAATTAACATTTTATTTGTAAACTTTTACAGCAATGGCTTAATAACAATTGCCGATTTATATGAGTCTAACCACCTCAAATTCAGTTGCTTTATCACTGAAAAATTGAAATTAGGATGAAATTAGAATTCAAACATCTCATTTAAATATTAATTTAAATGACTTGAATTTATCTACAATAGCAGTTTACCTTACTGATAAACACTGTTACTCTTTTAAAAGCAGAATCTACTTTGGGAAGTGAAGAATGGAATCCTTGGGAAGGAGATGAAAAAAATGAGCACCGACATAGAGTTAAAACTAGTCTTCAAATACTAAATAAATCAACAAAAGGAAAAACAGACCACGGAGTACAAATCTGGGGCAAAGCTGCCATCGGTAAGACAATATAAGGGGAAAGATGTGAAAAGCATGGTAAGGTGAACTTTAAAATTCATTTTAATGTTTATTTCATCATTGTTTATCAAAGCATCATAACACATTTGTTTTCACATTTTCTCAGTAGTCCTTGCCATTTGATAACATCTGTGTACAAACATTCCATCACTGGTCTTGAGCAGAGCACACCATCATTTGTAGATGCAGAGTAGATTGTGTAACAACATTATATGAAACACATGTGTCACCTGAATTTTCATGAGTTGGTGTATTTATTGGATACTTGATAATCGAGTGCAAGATGTGACCCTGCTGATAATGGCCAAACATTTGTGAGTATTCAGCAGGGGCATATAGAACGTCGTTGACCAAACATGATTGACTGCATAAGTATTTCTGCTCTCAGTGTCATGTGAATCTAGTATTCCAGAATATATACTGTGCTCAGTTAGAAAACAGAGTCTTTGGTGAAGGATGGAAAACTAAAGTTTAGTGAAAAAGAGGGGACTTTATTTGGGTTTTGAACATGAGTTAGGTTTATTACAATAAGGGATATGAATAATTATGTACCAAATAAAAGTAAACAGAACATAGTGCCTGACTCATGATGTTTCTTAAATTAATTTATGCTTAAATGCAAATATACAACCTTAAAAGATTACTACTGACCTCTAAATTTCAAGTACCCAGGCCTGTAATCATCAAATTGTAGCAATTTTTTAAAAAACTAAATGCACTAAATCAATTTCTTCCTTTAATCTCTTCTACATCCCCATTCTAGTTTTTAGTTTTACAAAACTCTTTACAGATTTTCATGTTTCTAAAACTTGCCTTTCAATCCATTAGCACAAAGTAACCAGCTGAATTTTTCCAGTGCTTCTTTATTAAGTTATTCCCAAATACAGTCAGAAGATACCAGTTACAAACATTCCTAGTCAAAAAAGGAAGAAAATGGAAATGAAAAGCAGTTACTAGCCAAGGCAGTTTTGAAATTCAGCCTGGCAAACCCCATGAGGTTTTAAGGCCTGAGAATAATCTCTGGTTGGCAGTTTTGCCTTCTGAACTCTTAACTCCATGCGTGGACTCACCCTGGTTTTTTTGGTGACACCTGATTGTAGCTCAGTAGTTTTGTCATAGGGTACTGGGAGCCCAACAGCCTTCGTTTCATTTCAGCCTCTCTCTGTCACTTGTAGTCCAAGGTTTCTACTACTGTAACAGTCAAGAATTAGTCTCCTGTATATTCCATAAGGATTCACTCAATTCGACTAGAAGTTCACAGCTCTTCCCTGAATAACTCCATCTCTGTTTCTGGCCTCTGCTGAAATGATAAAAAAGATCTATAAATCATACACATAAAGTCTTCTAAGAGCGCTTCATGTGAATGACTTGATCTGATCCTTGTGAAGCACTAGCAAAAATGTTGCCTAGCAACTTGATTGACCTTCCTGATAGTAAGTAAATGTCTTCCCCTGGCAGTCTGGATAATCCAAGAATATTCCAGATCATCAAATTCTGATGTTACTTTTGTGTAACATTTCTTTACTCATTCACTCTGTTCTCTTACCTTTTATAATAAGCACCAAAAAACCAGTTTACATCTTTTAACACTTTGTTTAGAAATCTCTTCAGCTAAATGCACAAGTTTTATCATTTGTAAGTTCTGCTTTACACATAATACAGTACACAATTCAATTAAGCTGTTTGCTCTTATGGGAACCCTCTTTCCTCCAGTTGCTAATGACACATTGCTCATTTCCTTCTGAGCCTTCACCAGCACTGCCTTTAACTACCAACAGTCTGCTTATGACAATTTAGATATTCTCAAAGATAATGTGGGTTTACTTTGTATGCTTTAATCTTGTAATTTGGACAACTGTTTCTAAGATGACAATATGTAATCTACTAACTAGTGATTTCTTACTGTATATTTTTTTTCTTGAAATTCTGTATTACTTGTACCCTTTTACTGCTTTGTTGTTTTTTTTTTTTTCCTCTTTAAATAAAAAAAATACTTTGGGTGAAAAAAAAAAGATAATGTGGGTTTTCTCTACTGTGCTCCTCATTTTTTCTGAGTTTTCACTAGCTGAGTTATTAATGTGTATTTCTACCTTCAGTCTATTCAATGAGATCTAATAATCTAGAACTTGTTTAATCATGTTTAAAATTCTTCTAGCAAGCCGGGCCTGGTGGCATACTCCTATAATCCTAGCACTTAGGCGCCTGAGGCAGGAGAATCGTTGCAAGTTCAAGACCACCCTGGGCTACAAAGTGAGCCCAAGGCCAGCCTGAGCTGCATAGTGAGACCCTGTCTCAAAAAGACCAAAAAAAAAAAAAAAAAAAAAATCTTCTTACCTCTCATTTCTTAATTCCAAAGCCACTTCCACATTTTAAAGTGTTTGCTGTACTAACATCTCATTTCCAGTCACCATACGTAATCTGTACTTTCCTATAGCTGCCAAAACAAATTACCACAGTTTTACTATCCTACTTTTGTAAAGGCCAAAGTTTGACGTGCCCCTTGGGCAATGTTTTGGAAGCTGTGTAGCAGAATCTGTTTCCTTGCGATTTTTCTTTCTAGACTCTACACATGTTCCTTGATTTATGGCCTGACATGACTCTGACCTCTATTTCTCTGTTAGCATCTTCCCTCACTCTGGCCTTCCTGCCTTCCCAGGTGAAGATCTTGATGATAACATACACTGTCCCAGATAATCCACAATAATCTTTCCATCTCAGCATCTTTAATTTATTCACATTAAGAAAATTTTTTTTTGCCATATAAGATAACGTAATTTACAAATTAGAGATTAGGACATGGAAATCTTTGCGAGGAAGCATTATTCAGCCTACCATATTTGGAAAGACAGCCTGGCCAAGTTTTTAAATGTGGCTGTCTGGGAATCATTTAGTGCCAGGTATAATGAGAATGGAGCAAAGTACTCCTTTTTGGTATAATTAAAACAAGGATCTCAGAGGTTTTAGGTGGTTATGGTACATTCTTAAGGTTTTCATTTAGATGAAATTATGATAAAACTTCAGGAACTTCAGGGGAAGTAGCGTTTGTTTGCAAAGGACATGCAGTCAAGGAAGTATAAGGAAAGAGGAGGTATGACATGAATGCTTATCTGTTAGCTCCTCTGGTTTGTTTGGCCCAATTTTAAATCTCTATTTTGTTATAAAAATTGTTCTAATCATAGAGCTTTTTTGTAATGTAATACATTTCATTTTAGAATAAAACATGGAAGTAAAGGTCAGTGATACTAGAAGATTCTCAAATATAGAGGTAAGAGATTATTGTCTTGAATATAATTCACAGTTAGCCGCATTTTACACTGAAAACCCCTGAATTTCTCTCAGACATTAGCTGCCATATGTTGATTTTGAGCATATGTTTGGTAGCACTGCCTGCCAGCTAACCAAAGGGGAAACATCTGTTTCACAGTCAGATATATGAAAGACAAAGCATAAGTTCTTTTTACACAGTTGGGTGTACCAAAAAGTAAATATTTTATGTTTCATATCTTTGTTTTTTGATTACCAGGTTTATATCTCTGGGAGCATATTTTTGAAGGCTTACTTGATCCCGCTGATGTGACAGCTCAGTGGAGAGAAGGAAAATCAATGGTAGGAAGAACACATTACAGGTATTGTACAACAGTAACCTTTGTTATATTGCTCTATTTTATGTAAATGCTATAAGAAAATATATCTTTATAAAACATTTCCATTTTAGCTAGTGAAAATAGAGAAATCTTGTGAACATACATTCATAGTTTAAATTTTAATGAAATTGTATGTTACAAAATACATCTCTTTTTGTCTTTTATTTTTATTTGACTATATGGAAAGTTCATACTCCATGTTTTGTACCATTTGCTTGGCAAGCGGCATTTAACATTTCATATGTCAAGGACTAATACATAAAATTGAAAAGTTTTTTTCATATAATAATGATGTTCAATTTTTATAATATTCAGAAGATATCAAAGCTATTGTCATTTTTTATATTTTTATTTACTAAGTAATACATATGAGTTCTTTAAGGGTTTAATATGGATGACAATTTTTCTACTGTGCTTAGAAATCTTATTTTATTTTTAATTTTTCTTTTAAAGAAAGAAAAATAATGGTACAAAATTTAAAAACAAGATTGTAGAGAGTAACTGTTATGGTTGTGTCAACTTGAGAAGTTTAGAAGTTTAAGGAAGGACTCAGAAAGGAGCAGGATCTTTACTTTGTAAATATCCTCATCATGTGCAAGAGGAGGGTACACAGATTTTGTGAGTGCAACATCTGCCCTGAAGGAGAGAGATGGCCTGTGTACAGTATAAAGGAAGAAGAGGCTTATTCCCCCCTTTTGCTCTGGCTGCTGCCTTAAAGTACTGCCCCAGTGCCATGCCGCCCTGCCTTGGAGCCAACTGAATATGGAATGAAACCTCCACAAACAATGAACTAAATAAACCTTTTCTTCATTTTCGGTGTCACCTGTTTTGTCTCAGCAACCAGAGAAAAGTAATCAAGACACTAACAATGGTTAGTACATCGTGTATTGTTGTCTTCAGAGTAGTTGCTCATATAAGATAGAGGCATGAAAAACTGATCAAACCATATAGGGACAAACCTTTCTTTTAAATGAACTAATAGCAATTAGTAGTATAACTGTCTTATTAATGTTTGTCTGTATGTGTATATATATGCATATATATTTATTTTTCATTTTCTCTCCTTTCTTTTCTCTTTTTCCCCATGCCAGTTTCTCTTTCCTCTGCATGTAATCATTATATGTTACAGACATGCATCATGGGGATTTGGTACATGTGCATGAAACTCTTGATTCTTGTTACTTTGCCTTTCCCTCCAGTTTCTCCCCTTTTCCTGTATCTCTTTGTCCTCTTCCAATTTGAAAAAGCTCTATCTCCCAGTTTCCTGTTATCTTTTTATTTTGCTCTTTACTTATATTTGTGTTTCCACATAAAACTATATTTAAGCCTATGCTTCTGATTTATTGCAGTTGACATTGTCTCAGGGTAGATCCCATTTCCTACAAATAACTCAAACTTATCCTTCCTTGTAATGTATATCATTGCTTTCTTTGCCTCTTCTGATCAGTTTTGGCTTGAAGCTCCTTTTGTTTAAAACTAGTATAGCTACTCCTGCTTGTTTTCAGGCTTCTGTTACATGGAAGATTAGTTTCCATCCTTTGATTTTTTTTTTTTTTTTTTTTTTTTTTTGCCTATCCATGTCTTTTTGGATTAAATGTATTTGTTATATACAGTGTATCAGTGTATTGTTGGATTTTTGTTTCTTGATCTAATCTGGCAAACTATCTTTTGATTGATTGAGACCAATAACATTGCAATATATGTTATTACCAAAAGATATTCATTAATTCCTGTCATTGCTTTATTTTCCTGTTGCTTTTTTTTTTCTTAACTCTCACCCAATTTAATATATTCCTTCCACTGTATTTTTTTGGCATTGTTGGCTTTATTGTGTGTATAATTTTTTGGAGCGTAGTCTTGGTAGTTACAAATTTCCTAAGATGCTGTTTGCCATAGAAATATTTTATTTCTCTATCCATCTTGAAAAATAGTTTTATAGAATATCATTCAGGGTTGGAAATTTTCTTCTGGGGCTCAAAACAGTTCACTCCAGCATCTCCTAGCCTTTAAGGTTTATGTCAAGAAGTCTGCTATAATTCTGATGGCTTCACCTTTCTAATTGATTTATTGCTTTTTTCTAATAGCTTTTAAGATTTTGTCTTGTGTCTAACATCTGTAATTTTGCCTATGATGTGTCATGAGGAAGTTCTTTTCTTATCCTGGATATTTGGCGTTCTATATGCTTCGCTTATTGTGTGATAAATTCTTTCTCTGTAATTGGAATATTTTCTGCTATTCTTTTTTTTTTATTTAAAGAAAAGGAAACAAAAAAATACATGGAGATTTAAAAAAAGGGGTAGAAATAATATAAAATTACAGAAAAACAAATGGTAAGAAATTGCTGGTTGATAAGTTACACATTGTCATCTTAGAAATAGCTGTTCAGGTTATAGAATTAAAGTATTTAGAATGACATTCAAAAAGTGACACTATAAACCGTTCTGCTCTAAGATTAAACAAAAGCTCAGTAATATGGTTATCAGTCCTACACATTTGTTTTACATCTCAAAGAGGGTAAGATTAAACATATCAAAACAGAACAAAACAGTTAAAAAAAAATTTAAAGAAATACAGATTTCAAAGCAAATCCACTGGAGATCTTCCCTGTCTATCAAACTGTCTCTAGTTTCTTACAAATAGTTGTCCCCATCTTCACCCACTTTATATACTTATTGCATATTATAGAACTAATCAAATCATTACAGGATGATGAAGGCTTTTTAGGGCCACAAGTTCCAAAATTAGGGAAGACAATAATAACTACCATCACATCTCTCATTCTCTTTGTGATAGCTGTCCCCATCTCTACATATGCTGAAATTGAACTCAAGAAACCAGCCCAATGTCATTCTAATCAGCGAACAATAGTATTGCTAGAATTTATATCATAGTGCTACAAAATTAGCCTTGGGTTTCTTAGCGTCTCTTCCTCAGAGTATCTGTTCATTACATCTTGCATTATATAATCTGTTCCCATAAATAATTAAAAAAAAAACCCATGTGTGAATTTCTACATATGTGTCTATCCTCTCTGTATTATAGGGGAAACCAAGTCATAGCAAGATAGCAAAACAGTTTCCTAGAAAAACATGCAATGGATAAGATATATAAGACCACTATATAAATGATCTTCCGTAGTTACTATGTTTTCTCTTGTTATTTTCAATAGATTTGTCCACTACACGGGCTTATTATAGTTAAACATAGTATCACCTATTTTTATAAAAACTTAACTTTGACAGCATTGTAGGATTTGAGAGCTGTTACTAGTTAATACCAGTATGGATATCCTTTACATCTTGTCATCTTCAAAGTAGTTGCCTCTACTTTTAGGGTTGATACTAACAAGCATACCAAATTCAAATAAAATCAGCCAAGGCCAACCCATAGTCTTATGATTCAGATTCAATTAAGATCAGTCATAGTAAGACAATGTAAGTAATACAGGATTTCAGTTTAAGTTAATAGGAAAGTAAGGATAGTTACCATGGTATAACCTGCTATTTTGGGGTCAAGATGTCTATGCCCTCAAATCTGACATGAGTGGACAGACCAGAACAAATTAAATTCAAACTAAATATGACGATAAGACTACTGTGTCTTTTAAATCCTTATACACCATTAACAATGACCTCTGCCTTTTTTTTATAGTGTTTCAGAGCTGTCTATACTAAAGACTATAGCTTACTGTCTCTGCCTCATGTCTGCTATTCCACTTTTCTGCTATAATTTGTCCACCTTATTCCCTTATTCCACTGTCTGCCCCATTCATTGAGGCCTCTCTGCCACTGTTGCTGGAATCCTGGTATCCCTTCCTCTCTTTCTCTGTAATGTCCTTCAGCACTCTCTGTAGGGTTGGATTGGTGGCCACGAACTCCCACAGTTCCTCCTTGTCTTGGAAGCATCTTATTTCTCCATTAATTTTGAGAGAGAGTTTTGATGGGTATATGAGCTTTGGTTGCATATTATTTTCTTTCAGGACTTGGAATATTTCTCCCCACTCCCTTCTTGACTTAAGAGTTTGTGTTGATAGGTCTGATGTTATTTTGATAATTTTCCCATTGTAGGTAATCTGCATCTTTTCTCTGGCTGCTTTTAATATTCTGTTCTTTTGGTGGATTTCTGGAATCTTTATTATTATATGTCTAGGCGTAGATCTGTTTTGGTTGTAGGTAGCTGGTGTTCTGTACGCCTCTTTTATCTGGATATCATTTCTTTTTGCTATACATGGGAAATTTTGCTTTAATATATCTGAATATTCTTTGTATTTCATTTTTGGTTGCTCCTGCTTCCTCACTCACATTCTTTATTCTTAAGTTATGTATCTTTTTGTCATCTTCTAGTTTTTGAATTGTTTCTTTACTTGTCTAGCTTATTTTTAAGGTTTGTTTGAGTGTATGGCTACCTGCATCAGCCCTGTCTTCTAGTTCTGACCTGCTCATGTCATACCATTCATGTCTGCCCATACTTAACAATAGAATTTTTTTTACCTCCTGGATTTTGTCTGGTACCTTTTCATACTCTTTGATCCTTTGCTAAACGGGTCATTCATGTTTTGTGTCATTTTGTTTAGTTCAGCTAGCTTTACATTGGTGTCTCATGTAAGCTCACTGACCATTTTATCTATTCAATCCATTATCTGTTTAGTTATATATCATCTTTGAGCTCACTAAGCACCTTTTTGATGTGTTTTGTTTTTTGTTATTGTTGTTTTGTCCCCTCTTTTTATCACTTGATGTAATTCAGTTATTTGGCTTTTGGTCCCCCCCCCCCCCCGCATCAGTCCATCAGTGAGTGTCCCGTGAATCAACTTTAGGGAGTTGGGAATTTGGGGAGGCATTTTGTTGCTTTGATTTCTCATGTTTCGTGTGTGTGTGTGTTTAGGGTCATTCATAATGGAAAAACATTGCTGCTAGTATGAGAATCCCTTTAGTTAGTTATGTGCTCTGTGTGTGGCTAAGTATGGACCTTTGCCTCTATCC